TAATTTGCCTGAAGTGTAGGCTAGTTGGCCTTAAAACATGAACAAAATCAGGGACACTATATACATACGCAGATGTACATGCATGAGGGGTGGGTCTATGCAGGTGGTATGCACACAGGGATCTCTGTGCACCTGGCACCTGCAAGGCACAGCCCCACAAGTGCAGACCAGGTAAGCTTCCTCACATCTGCACTGCCTTGGGCCACTCTGTCCACTGGCCTTTACGACTTCCAAGGGCTCCTGGGAAGTAGCTCCTGAGGAGGTGGCATCAGGACGGGCAACATAAACGGGGTCTGTATGGAGATCAGAGATGGCTCTCCCGGGGCCTACAGAGCATCAACAAGAGAACCAGCTAAACCTCCTACATTGGTGGTAATGGGGGGAGCAAATGTTTGTCCTCTGAGGTCCCCTTCCAGGGGATCAGGATCCAAACCTCCTTCCCGTGGTCCTTGAGCCCTTCCTGCCCCCACCCAAGAAGGCTCCCCAACATCCTTCCCACAAATGCCTCCTCACCTTGTCCCTACAAAACTGGTAGATCTGAGAGGGGCTGATGCTCCTCACTCAACCCTTCCCAGAGTAGACAGAAAAGACAGCATTGGGCCTGGAGCCGTGCTACACGCTAGAAAGGAAACCCAGCCCATGCCCAGGGAGAGAGCCTGGCCAGTGGGCAACTGGTGAGACGGGGAGGGCGGGAGGAGGAGAGTAGCCCAGCTCTGCCTGGAGGGAATGAGAGAAGACTCCCCTGACCTCCGTCGTCCTCACTAGCACCTGGGCGCTTGCACCCCTGCCTGACCCTCCTCTGAAGGTTTTGGAGGCATTCATGAGTCGTGAAGAACAAAGGACCAAGGAAGCAGCGTGGGAACAAGACCTTCTGTCCGTCCCCGCAGAAGGAAGGCCAGGCCTCCTTCTCCTCTCCTGGGAAGGAGAAGGTCTGCGGCAGGAGCCGCCCTCAGACCCTCACACGATGGTATGGAAAAGACAGAGCAAGGGGCACCTCTAGGCTGACCTGGCCGGCCCAGGCCTAGTGGAGTTCCAGGGGCCAGTGTGGTGATTCAGATCCAGGCCACATCAAGTCCCAGCATTGTCACCTTCAACGAAACACGCTGCACACTCTCTGTGAGCTGGAGGACAATCAGAGGGCCAGCCCCAGCCCCTTCACTTCACGAAGCCCCGGAGAGTTGTTGCGCCTGGTCAGTCCCATGGGGGTCATCCCCACCCCACTGCTTGCATTAGGGCCCCTTCCTGCTCCCCACCAGCCTCCCCACCAAGCTGTCCTCACCCCTCTCCACCCCACGGAGTAGCCACATGACACACTTGAGCTTGTCACATGCTGAGCCATATGGTTTCTTCTGCTCCATTAGGGCTCCCTGTAGACAGCAGGTTCTTTGAAGGGTGAAGACTTTGGCCTGGGTTTGACCCCACAGGGCCCAGCACAATGCTGGGCACACAAAGCCAGCCCTCCCTAAATGCCTGTTGATCCATTTGGGCAGGAAAACCAGATCATAAAAGACGTGGGCCTGGAAACAATCCACAGCATTCCCAGGGAGAGAGCCCCAAACCCCTCTCCCAGCCCAGCCGGCACCATCCACACAACTTGAGTTCTGGCTGGGAACTGGGCTCTCATTCAGCCCATCTGCTCAACATCTCTTTGGTTGCTTTTTCTCAGTTTCATATTAGAAAAAAAAACCTTGAAAAACACAAACAGCAAAGAGGTGGGGAGGGGGAGGAGGACCAGTTGCAGCAGGCATAGCAGTGGGGGGCAGTGGCACTGGGGGTGAAGCAAGATTCTCAGGCCAGCCACTCCCCCAGCAGGCCCTCCCCAATGGGAGAAGAGACCAGAAGGGCTGTCCCTGCATGCTGGGTTGGGACGAGAAGAGTGCTTCACCAAAAATAGCTTGGGTCTTCAAATTTAACTAAATCTGCTGACTACAGTAGGAACACAAGTGTCTCCAGTGGGACCTCAGGCGAGTCGCTTCCCATCCAATTTGTCTGTAAAGGAAATGGATCGTCCACCTCTGACATTCTATGATTCCCAAGGGGATCAATAGCAAAGGGATACGCCTGCTCCCCCTGCCCCTACCTGCACTGCCAAAGGGCGCAGAAGCCAGGCCCTCATGGTCCCTTCTGGGTCACTCCCTCTCAGAGAGGGGCTGTGACATTTACCCAGTTGCTCCAAACCTGGGGCCACTCTTGCCGCCCACCTCTCCCAAATCCTCACATCTCATCCATCCACCTCCCAGGAAATCGGAAGCCAGACCACTTCCAAGTACTCACAGGGCCTTCAGGGTCTGGCACCCACCCTGTCCTCACCGGACTCCTGCGGAGGGCCCTCAGCTCGTCCCCCATGCCCCGCTCTGCTCCTTCCCACACACTCTCCACACAACAGCCAAGGCGGTTTGTTCAAAAGTCCCATCATCTTACTCCTCTGACTAAAATCTTCAATGATTCCATTGCCTTCAGTTAGAAGAAAGCCCAAAATCTTTAGTAAACCTTCCGAGGGTCTGACTCTTTGTCCCCCTAACTGTGGGTGCTCTGGCCATCCTGGCCTCCTGGTTGGAGAAACTCCCTGTCCCGCCTGAGCACATGTCCACCTGCAGCAGTGCTTCTGAGTTACAGAGTGCGTGTGAACAGAAACACTGGTAAAATGCAAGTTCCAATTCTGCAGTCTGGAGTGGGGCCTCTCTGCATTTCCCAGGAGCTCCCAAATCATGCAGGTGTTAGTGGTCTCTTGGCCTGACAGCACCTTTGCCTAACTAAGGCCTGCTCAGCTCTCCGGGTTCAGCTTAAACATCATTCCCCCAAAGAAGCCCTACCTGACCCTCTCCTTCCACAGACCTTATCTTGGCCCCCAGGTATGCTGTGCTTCTCCTTTGTAACAGTCACCGCACTGAACTATTCATCCCTCGTTCTTAAAAATTTTTTTTTCAACTCTCATCTCCTGAGCTAGACTACAAACTCCAGAACCACCACGATGTTTTATTCACCTTTAGGTCCCCAGTCCTCAGCATATCATCAGCATTTGTAGTAAAAAGCTGTTGGTCTTGGCTGCCTGCATCCACTTTCCCTTCTTCTCACAGTAAAGCCTCAATTTTCCTTTGAAGAGCCACCCTTCTCCCACTCATGTCTGTTAAGGTTTAGGTAGAGGACATGAGACCCAAGCCTGGCCAGTCAGAGCCTTCCATCTCTCCGGTTGCAATTATTGGTTCAGAGATAGACATGTGACCTAAGACAGGCCAATGAGCTTCTCCCTGGGACTTCTGATAGAATTACTAGGGAAAAGAGACTCTTCACTGGAATTACTTAGCAAGCAGGAGCAGCTGTCACATTTCTGTCATCACAGAGACAGAGTCTGACAAAGAATGAAACCAGTACAGAAGAGAGGTGGAAAGAGACAGATTTCCTGGATGCAGCCATGCCTGGAGTCTATACTTGCCATTACAAAGGCAATAAAGTCCCTTTGATGCTTAAGCCAAAGTGAGTTATGTTTCTGTCACTTGAAATCAAGAGTCTTGACTAATAGAACATTCAAATAAATATTGGGTGTTGAATGAATTAAATGAGTATGTGAGTAATTAGAGACTGCCGAGAGAACTCAGTGACTCCTCCCAGAAAACTTTCAGAGTCCTCCCTGCACACTCCCGCCACCATGAGCACAGAGACAAGCATCCCACACCCCATTTTGCAGACCAGCGTGTGGAAATGCATGATGGCGACATGCTTCTCAGCACTATCCGGCGCAAACAAGCCACCACAGCACCTGGCTCAGGTGCCAGCACTGTGACTAGGCTGACAGAGGCAGTTGGGCTTTCAGTGCCCCCAGGCACCCCACCAGGGGGAGAGCAGAGCTGTCTTCAGCCAGCCTATTCCCCACCCACTCCTGAATCCTAATCCAACATGGGCGGGCTCTGGCCGCCCCTCACTGGTATCACCCCGAGGTGCACACCACATGGCTCTGTGCATACCACATGGTTCTGTGCGTGGGAGGCACTCAATATGGGATGATCACGGAAAGATGGTTTTGATCCACTTCCCTTGGGGGTATCACTCTAATGGATTAGGTTAGGGAAGAGGGGGTACAACAGAGAGCAAAAGAGAAGAGCCCTAATTATTTGCCTGTGAGTCACCTCACAGCAGAGCTTCAGGACAGAGATGGAGGCTGGCCTCAATGTCCCCTCAGATGGCTCAGGAGGCAGTGACTTCTTCAAAGCTAGTCCTCACCTGGCAGAATGTAAGGGAGGGGGGTGCACTGTGCCCAGGCAGGCACACTGCCTCGGCCTGAGCCGAGTCCTCCCTGAGGGCATGTCAAGAGTGTGCGGCCATCGGGACATGGGAAACTGGAGGGTAAAAGGGGAAGAGCACAGTGGGGGGGAGAGGGGGCGCTGCCCCCTCAGCTCCTGGGCAGGAATGAGAGGGGCCTGGGCCTGGGGTCCTAAGATGTGTTCTCCTAGGAGAGAGACTTGTGAATAAAGTGTTAATTAGAAAAGAATTACTGGCTTCCCGGAACCTCTAAAGCAACCGTCCCACAAGGGCTGGGGGGACAGGGCCCGCTGAAGAAGGCTAGTCAGAGGCAGGAAGACCAGCATGCAAGTTCCACTCAAGAGCCAGGAGGGTCCCAGCCCTCAGGGCCTGGCAGCCCTTCTGGGCAGTAGCCCCTTAAGGCACTAGCCTGCAGCTGCCTTCGAATCCTCTCCCACTTACCCCTGCCTGGGCCCCTAGTTCCCGAACCCCACAGCTCCACAAGGCCTCTCACTAATTATAAAGCACCCAGCCAAGCCCACCCAGCCCGGGTTTTTTCCTCACCGTGCCCTAACACCCTGTGTCTCACACTCACGCCCTCCTCCTGCACTGCTGAGCCCCAGTGAGTGCTCCTTCCAGAGGTGCCTGGGCCTCCACAGCCCACAGGGACAGACACAGCAGGGCCTGCTGCCACAATAAAGTGCAGCCTTGAGGTTTACCCCCCATCCACCGCCTCCCCCACTTACCAACTCTAAGCCTCTTACCTTCATGGTGGGAGGCGCAGTGAGAGGAGGGGACAGTGACCGGTCTGGGAGAGTTACATCTGAGCTGTTGGCCAGCTCCTGCTTCCTGTAAGGAGCCAAGAACACAGAAGAGGTGAGTAAGGGCCCACCTGTACCGTCCCCTCTCTCCTCTAAAGCGGCAGGGCTTGGCGACAGAGTCTAAAGCACACTGTTCGACACTAGAGTGGGGTGCATTTCTTTGCTGGGATGTAGAAAAATCTAAAGCCAGGCTGTTTCAGTGTGGCCCCTGATCCAGCAGTACCAGCATCACCTGGGCACTGTGAGAAATGCAAATTCTGCCCTGGCTGGTGTGGCTCAATGGATTTGAGTGCCAGCCTGAAAACCAAACAGTTGCTGGTTCGATTCCCAGTCAGGGCACAAGCCTGGATTGTGGGCCAGGTCCCCAGCTGGCAGCACACAAGAGGCAACCACACACTGATGTTTCTCTCCCTCTCTTTCTCCCTCCCTTTCCCTCTCTCTAAAAATAAATAAATAAAATCTTTTTTTAATTTTTTTTTAAGTAATACAAATTCTCAGGTGTACACCAGACTCTCCAGTGATGGGGCCCAGGAATCTGTATTTTAACAATCTCTCCAGGTGGTTCTGATGCACACTGAAGCCTGAGAACCACAGAGCTAAACAGATCCAGGGCTGGGGCTGGAGTGGGAAAAGAAGGGGAAAGGGGTACACATTTTCACTTCACCCTCCCGGGGCCCCTTGTCCCTCCACCCCCCCACACACACACTGGCCAGATGGCAGACCTTGGGAGGACGGGCTGCCTGGGGTACAAACTGCAGGTAAGACTTATTTTAGTCCATGTGGGCTAGGACCATGGAGAGACAGCTAAACAGAGTTGTGTCACCATGACAACACGACTGCAACAAGTTCGCTGCTCTCACACGCTCCCCACTTTCCATCTGGCCCTTGCTGGTGGCCAGGCAGTGCTAGTTTGCAGTCTGAGCACCAGGCAGAATGTTTGCAGTAGGATAAGGCTTCGGAACAACGGTCACACAACAGGGCCAGCTGGGAAGAACCTGGGGGAGTCCCCAGACGGACGAGGGACTCTGGTGTCCTGGACATGCCCTAGTTATCTCCTGGGACAGGAAGGAAGGCAAGAATAAGAGCAGTAAGAGCCTAAGAGGACCAGGAGGAGCCACCCAAGCCCCAACTCTGTAACTGTTTCCTTCTGCAGAGCCCCAGCCTGAAGCAGCTGTCAGGCCAGCACCTGGTCCCACTTAAGTGACCAAAGCACCGCTTCTGCCAACTCGAGAGAATGCTTCTGTACTCCTTTCCAGCCCACGTACCGCCAAAGGAAGTAACAGCCCCCACCCCAACCTCGTTCATGAGAGAAGCCTGCTCCCTGCCCAGCCCCCCGCCTTTCTGGGGCAAGCCCTTGACCTGGGACCCAGCCACCACCCTGTCCAGGACCCCTCAGCCCAACAGGCCTAGTGTAAGAGAAACCAGGCCCGGTGCCACAGGGCCCTGTCCACCCTGACACCACCCTACGAGCCCTGCCACCCGTCTCCTGGGAAGCACCCTAAGGAGGCTACCTGAACATCTGGCTTGGGGAGGACCCACGTGACCCCATTAACCTCAACCCTGCCCATTCCCCCTCTCTGCTGCCCCTTCCTCCTCCTTCGTTCTTGGGCTTGGCCTCACTCCAATGGCTGAAGAGGGGTCTCCTCCCCCCGATCCAGACGGTAACTAGCTCAGGAACCAGCAGGGCCATGACCTGGCACATGTGCACACACACACACACACACACACACACACACACACACACGAATGTGCTCCTTCGAGCTCTCAGCCAGAGCCACCGGCCTCCCTCCATGGCGGAGTCAGGCCCACCCCACCTGTGGACCTGACAGCGCTGGGTCCTGCCCCTCTGCCCTCCCACAAGCAGCCACTGCTCCTCCTCTATGGGCCTGTGCCCCTGAAAGCCATGTGGGGGAAAGGGAAGGGAGGAAGAATGATCAAGGATGGTCCCCTGAGGTGACGACGGGCAAAGACAGCTCCCTGGGGTGCTGGGAGTCTGGTAAAAAAAAAAAAAAAAAGCAAGCAGGGAGGGGTAGGCAAGCTCCCCAGCCAGAGACTCTAGGACTGCTGGGGGTGAGCTGAGGACTTCTGGCCTACTCCCTGGAGACAGCTTGTGGGCAGACTTGACCCATAGCTGCCCTTGGTCTCCAATAACACAGACCCTAGGGGAGGGCAATACCAGCAGGTTCTAGTATCAGTGGTCACGGGACACTCATACACAGTCTGGTTCTCCCCATGAGGCACAAGCTGCTCACTCCCATGAGACCAGAGCAGATGTGATTCTTATCCAAGGTCCCTGAGGCCCAGACAAAGGGCTCCCGGTACCCACCCTGCCCTGGGCTGAGCCCCTCTCCTCTGAGCCAGCCTGCTCTCCCTGGACGCTGGAATAACCTCCAAAGACCAGTCTCCAGGGAGCAGTGAGGACTGCCAGGTGGGAGCACAGGGTGTCTCCTGCCAGGATTTCCCAAATGACGCTTGGGAAGGGGCCTGGAAGGTGCGAGAACAGGAAAGAGCACCCAGCCTCACACCAGCTCCAGGGTCCTGTCTGAGATTCCGGAGGGGACGCCAGGGTGGGCAAAGGCATGACTGCGGCCCTCCAGAAGATGAGAACTCAGAGCGCACAGCAGCCCTGGCTGCAGATTAGAATCTACTCTAACTGGGTGGAGAGATGGCTCGGAGTGGCACCTATGGGGGGAATGAGCCGCGCTGAGCCATCCCTCCTCTCGACTCCACCCCCCGCAGAAGCCAAAGACACTTATTTAAGAGCTAACTTCCCATTATGAATTGAATTTGCCCCAACCCAGAAATATGCTAAAGTCCTAACCTCCAGGACCCCTGAATTGTGACCTCATTGGAAATAAGGTCTTTGCAGATATAATCAAGTTAAGATGAAGTCACTGGGTTGGTTGGCCTCCTAATTCAACATGACTGGTTTCCTTATAAGAGGAGAAGGTGGCCACGTGAAGACAGACACACAGGGAGGACGCCATGTGATGATGGAGCCAGAAGCCACAAAAGACAAGGAAGGACTCTTCCCTGGAGCCTTCAGAAGAAGCTCGGCCCTGCCAACATCCTGATCTTCGACTTCTAGCCTCCAGAACTAGGACAATAAATACTGCTATTTCAAGCCACCCTGTTTGAGATACTCAAGTTATATTTGCGACGCTTGGTTACGGCAGCCCTAGGAAACAGAAACACCAACCAAGTCGCAGGCTCCAGCCTTGGCATTGTCCCTGGAGGACCGAAACAAGGAGGATGGAATCCCTGCTGCCGCCTCACCTCCCCGCTGCAGCCAGCTGGCCCCACCCTGTCCTGTCCCAGCCCTCACAACCAATGACATTTGAGTATGAGCCACCCTCCCAAGGACAGCCAGGACTGGCCACTGGCTGAGATAAGACAGAGTAAGAACTACAGTGCTCAGTGCAACGCCAGCCCTTTCTCAGGACAACATGCCACCTGTGAGTAGGTGACAGTGACACAACTCTGTCAAGGGGTGACCTTGAATCTGCCCTAATTTGTTGTAAGCAAAAGGTAAATTATTAGCAGAGGTGGGACCCTCAATGCTCTTTGTAGCACGTCTCTAGGAAGCCACCGTGATCTTGACGTGTGTCAGGGCACTGAGACTGAAAACTGCCCCCTGACCAAGCCAGTCAAATGCCCCTGCCCAGCTCTCCAGACCAGGGGCCCAGACTCACACAGGGACACACAAGAGGAGGGGGCGGCGATGGGAGCAGAGGAGAGGAGAAGATAGAGGAAGGCAGAGGAGGGAGGCAGAAGGTCATTCACAAAGCTCAGAGAAAGGAGGTAAGAGCAGGCAGGAGTGGACAGGCCAGGAGCCCTCCTCCTCCTGCCTCCGGCGGTCCCAGAGGCCCTGTCTCCTCAGCATCCCTCTGCCCCAGAGCCATGTGGCACTGAGGCCCTCTACTCTGGGAGTCTTTCCCCAGAGCCTGGGGATCCTGGGATGGCTGGGGTGGGGGGGAGGTCAGGGAGGCCAGGAGAGGTCCTAATTGGCTTTAGCCAAATGAGGTTCTGGCCAGCTTTGTCCTCATGAAAATCTCAAGAAAAAACGGTCAAAAGCCTGGAGTGGAAGCTGGAAAAACAAGGGAGCGATTCACCCAAATGGGGCTGTTGGTAGGGAACCCCACAACAGGCCCCGGCATGGAGCACCCAGCTTCTGGCTCACAGGCATCCAGCGTCCTTGCCTCCAGCCCGAGGTGGCTCTGCTGCAGACCCTCTGAGATCATCGCACACTTCCGTGAAAATGCCCTACACTAAGAACCAAGAGATCCCTGGGGTCAGCTCAGCTCTACTCGCTACCCCACTGTGCGAATTTGGTTAAGTCACCTCACCTCTCTGTGTCCTTCATCTGCAGAGATGGGAGTGAAATAAGACATAAAGCCCTATACAAATATAGGCCATTATCATTATTATTATCATCTTTTTTATTATCATAACTCATAAAATGGTTGTGCAGTCTCCAGGAAGAGAGAGAGAATCAAGGGTCGAGGGCTATTTAAATGTCTCTGAAAATACTTATGGCATCTCAGCTAAGCACCAGTTCTAGCCCCAGGGATCTACTCTCAGGATCACAATCATCAGTTAATAATCAACAGGGAAAATACCTGCCAATCACCAGACAGCTCTGGGGCCAAGTGTAAGCCCCTCCCTCTGGCAGAGCCTTCTCCCCAACCTTCACACCGCCCTGGTCTGCACTTGCACCTCCCAGCACACCAGTCCCCAGCTGACCACCAAGGTCAGCTCTGCTTTCTCTTGCTCTCCAAATAGCCAAGCTGTAGAAATGTGGACAGCTGGCCACTCCAAGGAGATGCTCAGGAAAACTGAACCAAAAGGAATGAAAAATGTTACTCACAATAGCCAAAGGATAGAAATAACCCAAGTGCCATTAACCAATGGATGGATAAACAAAATGTGGTCTGTCTGCATGGTGGAATATTACACAGCCATAAAAAAGGAGAAAGTATACATGCTGCAACACGGATGAACTCGAAAACACAGCAGGCAAATCCAGAG